TTAATTTGTGGTTTTTCTGGAAAATGTTTATTATTAAAAAGATATAATTCACGACCATTGTATTTTGTTAAAATGATGATTATTAAAATGGGGTGTTTAAATGTATGTATGCATGAAACATAGGTGAATATGATGCTGAAGACCAGTGTTTCATTAGGCCTAGAATGAGACAAGAAATCACTGTATGTATATCATAGTAAGATCATGGACTTTGGATATAAATAAAGGACTGTTTGGCATTAGCCAATGGGAATCATGATTGAAAAGGTACCTTGCAAGTATTAAGCTAAAGTAAATGAATGTATATCTCTGAGATCTTGTAGATTTTAAAAGTCATATACTAAATGATTATAGGAAACATTTTCTAAAATACATTTATTGTTTTGTTGTGATTACAGAAGTATTAATGTGTATTGTATGGAAAATTTGCAAAGTATAAGCAAGTAAAAGAGAAAAAAATCACCTCTAATCTAAACATAAATGTAAACATTAAAAATATCTTTCTATATTATTTATATAAGTTTTAAAAATACAAATTGGGTCATGATGTATATTACTGTTTTTTAACCTGTTTTAAAAGACAACATATTAACATTTTCTGTATTGTTAAATATACATCTACAGTATCATTTTTAGTGTCAGGCTCGTCCATAGTCTAGTCATTTATTGTTAAATATAAGTGATTTTCACTATTGCAAGCAATTCTACAATGAACATATATGTAGAATAATCCTTGCCTGTATTCACAACTAGTTATTTAGAGTAAATTAGTAGAAATAGACTCTCTGGGTAAGAGGGTATACACACTAATGCTTTATTAATTTGTACTGTAAATAATGATACCAGATAGAGTTTTCTGGAAGCACATGGGAACAATAGTTTACTTGTGCACTCGCCAACACTGGGCATCAGTTTTTTATTTGGTGTTCTAAAAGGTAAAAAAAAAATGTACCTATGCTTTAATTTCTATTTCTTTGATTCTGATTCTTAAGGAATTTATGTTTTTCATATGTTTATTAGCCCATTTAGGGATCTTTTATAACTTACATATTTTGTCATTTGTTGGTTTTTCTTTCTAATTTGTAAAAGTGATTTATAAATTACGATGTTGGCCTTTACGTCCTGTAATATGTTGGCAGTGTTTCCTCAGTTTATTTCTTTAATTTTACTTATCTATTTATTAAGGCTGTGCTGGGTCTTCATTGCTGTGCAGGCTTTTTTCTGGTTTGAAGAGTGGAGCTACTCCAGTTGCAGTGCACAGGCTCCTCGTTGAGGAGCGCAGGCTCCAGGGCACTCAGGCTCCAGTAGCTGTGGCCTGTGAGTTCAGTAATCATGGCATGTGGGCTCAGTCGTTGCAGCTCCTGGGCTCTAGGACGCAGGCTCGGCAGTTGTGGCACACGAACTTATTTGCTCCACAGCGTGTGGGATCTTCCCGGATCAGGGCTTGAACATGTGTCTTCTGCATTGGCAGGTGAACTCTTTACTACTGAGAGCCGTCAGGAAGGCCCCTCCCTTGTTTATTTAATTACGATATTTTGGGTATACAAAAACTTTAAAATTTTCTAGTTACATCTATTAATCTCTTCCTTTATGGCTTTTGCCTTTAGGTGTTATGCTTAGAAAAGCATTTCTACCCTCAATTTATGTAGTATGTCTTCTGTTTACTTTTAGAATTTTGATGGGTTTTTTTTTTTTTGCATTTAAACCTTTAATTCACCTAGAATTAATTTTGCTGTATAGTGTGAGAGGTGACTCAGTGGGTAAAGAATCCACCTGCAATGCAGAAGACACCAGTTCGATCCCTGGGTTGAGAAGATCCCCTGGAGGAGGAAATGGCAACCTACTCCAGTATTCTTGCCTGAAAAATCCCATGGACAGAGGAGCCTAGGGGGCTGCCGTCCATGGGGTTACAAAGAACCAGACACAACTGAGCGACTGAGCATGCACATTGAAATTGTGTGAGAGTGGGAATCTTTCCTGTTATGATGTCCTAATATCAATTATGACATAATACTTTCTTTTCCTGATGGTTTGAAATGCTGTGTCTACCAATACTAAATTGTTATAAGTATATGATTCCATTTCTGGGCTTTCCGTTCAGAATCATTGACTATACCTATCTCTTCTTTCACAGTGCCAAACTACTCAGGTTATTATAAGTTTATAATAAGTGTTCATACCCTTTACTTTTTACTTGCTCCTTTCTGTACCTCCTAATTTGGTTTGTTGCTTTTGTCATGTGCTTTTATTACACCTGCTGCCCCTATTACAGCACTTGGTAGACTTTGTTTTTATATATATATTCAGTCAGTGCATTAATTATCTATTATGTAACAGATGACCACAAATTTAGCAGTTTACAGCACATGCTTATTATCCCATAGCTTCTGTGGATTAGGAATCTAAGAACCACTCAGTGAGTTTCCTGTTTCAGAGTTTCTCATGCAACTGCAGGCACACTGTCAGCTGTGGCTGGGGTCAGCTGAGATGAATCCCCTCCCAGGCTCACTTACATGGTTGTTGGTACAATCTATTCCTTTTGAGTTGTGCCTTAGTCTCATCTGGCTGGCCAAAGACCAGCTTCAATTTCGTGCCATGTAGGCCTCCCTAAGGTGGCCATTTGCCTCATCAGAGCCGGCAAAGAGAGATTATGCTAGCAAAGTGGAAGTTAGAATCTTCTGTAATCTAATTATGTATAATCCCCTCACCCTTGAAGTATCCTATTGATTAGAAGCAAGTTCCTCAAAGGGAGGGGGTTACACCCGGCTGTGGCACCAGAGGCAGGGGCACTGGGGGGCCGTGTACTGGCTGCTTGCCGCGGTCAGTTTTCTCAGCGGCATGTGTAGTCCATGAGACTAATGCTGTCTTTCTCTTGTGTACCGTTGATCATTACGCTCTGACACAGTGCCTGGCACGTAATAGTAGGTCCTTAAATACTAGTGGGATAAGAGTGTGTCTCTAATAAATGGCGTATGTTTAAACATGGCTTTTTTTAGGAGGGAACAGCCTAAATATTTGTCTTTTACGAAACAAAGTAATAAGTCTTTTATACTGACTGTTATAAAACTGGTTGGACCTGTGTTATCTCCTTATGTTTGTTTTTCATGTGCCCCTGTGGTTTTCCTTGACTATTTTTCTTTTGCTGTGTTGACTGTTTTCTTTTCTGTGCATTAGACCCCAAGGCTTGAACCAGAGCAGCCCCTACCATATCCTTGCTGTGCTTTCTGTCATTCTTCACTCGTAACCCCCTGCTTCCTGCTCAGGTCCTCAGAGCTGACTCAGAGCAGGCAGAGGTTCCAGTTTACACTTCTTAGGGTTCTGGAGCAAGGGAAAGGATTTCTGTCTCCCTGCCAGTTCTGCATAAGTAGGAATTGGATATGTTTTTGGCATCTTCTGTATTATCCAGATGCATTAGTACACGAATGTGATGCTCTTATAATTGCAGAGCATCGTATGCTGAACGTTTGCTTGTAGCCTACAATCTAATCATTTCTTTTAGAATTTAGCAGATGTGCTTCATTTCTTTTTTTTTCCCTCTCGGTTATGTTGCCCTCTGAGATTCCAAAACTCCCCACAGACCCTCCTATTTCATGACTCCCTCCCCGGGGCGGGTCTCCATCCCTAAGTCTTTTGTCTCTGCTTTTGTCTTTTATATTTTGTCCTACCTACTTTCAAAGAGATTGGGCTGCCTTTTTGGGTGCCTGGTGTCCTCTGCCAGTGTTCAGAAGTTTTTTAATGGAAGTTGCTCAACATTCAAATGATCTTTTGATGAATTTGTGGGGGAGAAAGCGGTCTCCCTGTCCTGTTCCTCCACCATCTTGGGACCTCCCCCAATGTGCTTCATTTCAGAGAATTGATCTAATTTTTAGAGTATTCCATACTGTTGAAAAATTGTGAAATAGGTATACTGTGTCACAATCACCTCTAGTCCCATACCCACTGCTGGGAAGTCTTTGATTCATTCAATCATCCTATTCCTTCTTAGAGCATTCCGTCCTCCTTGCATGTACCAAGCACTGCCTTAGGCACTAGAAACACAAATAATTAGTGCTCTAGGCACTGGAAACACAAGTAATAGACATCTGGAGTCTACTGAGACAGGCAGACATGAACACAAATTATTTCTGTTTGTGGGTGGGGGTGGTATTTCCTTGTCCTATGTTTAGAAAATTTTTCTACATATTTCCAGTACAATTCACACAAAAATTATTTTAGTGAGGGTATGAAGTGGGAAATCTACCTTTCTTTCCTAAGTCGTTAATTGACCATACCCTCTGTGGTTTGAAATGCCACTTTTATCTTGTGCTGAGATGTTAATATAATGTAAATTGAGTACTTATAAGCTCTCTACTATTTTACTTATCTGTCCAACTATTTAAAAGCTCTCTACTATCTTACTTATCTTGTCCAACTATGTTGTACCTGTATAACACATTTCAGTATCTGGTAATGCAAGTCTTCCCTTTTTTAGTTACGGGTCAAAAGTATTCTTTGTGTTCAGCTGTTTCCTCTTCGCACAGTTGTCTTCATTGTGTATTTTGCTGGTTTCTTAGCGTGCTTGTGTGCTCTGTTGTGTCTGACTCTTTGCAGCCCCATGAACTGTAGCCCACCAGGCCTCTCTGTCTGTGCAACTTTCCAGGCAAGAGTACAGCAGAAGTTTGCTATTTCCTTCTCCAGGTTATCTCCCGGACCCAGGGATTGAACCCCTGTCTCCTGCGTCTCCTGCATTGCAGGTGGATTCTTTACCCACTGAGCCATTGGGGAAATGTGACTTCCAAGTTCTTTTAAATTACTAGTTTAAATTCAGCCTTTAATATACTTTCCTTCAGTGAATATGAAAGCTGTTACAAGGTATCATTTTAATTTTCCCGTTTTGAAATACTTTAGTGACTTATTTTGCTGCTCAATGCCACAGAGACTTTAAATGAAAAGTATAGTGTTTGAAACTTGGTACTGACTTTGCCATTTGAATTCTAATTTACCTTTGTTTTATACCTTAGGTTTAGCCCAAAGGCATCCCTTCCTCCACCTTTTCAGATGCATCTCTCAAGAACCTGTACTAAGGAAATGAGTGGTATGTTTTCTAAACATTATTTGTGTGATACATTATGACTTCTTGAGCCTCAGAACCCTAAGAAGAATATCTAGTGGTAGCTTTTGACATTTGTTCTCACCTTCTCCCACTTGTAATATATCTCTCCTCCTCTCTTTTCTGATTTCTTTAAGTTATGAATTGTAGTGATCTAAAGACAAAGTAATACCTCCAACAGTGTCATTATTGTTCTGCCTTTCCTCACACCAGACCTGTTCTGTCACTTCCACTTGTTACCTACAGAGATCCTCTGTCCCTTGTCACTTTCACTCATTAGAGAGTAAGATTTAAAGCACATAAATAGGGAACTTCGACTCAAAAAATAGTTTCAGATACTCATAAAATACTTTCACATACTTAACGCTATGTGAAAACTGGGCTCCTAAACTGTGTGCAATGACCGTAAGCACCTAAATATGAATATAAATATATACAATCCAAAAGGACAATAGAAGACATAATAAAGTTGAAGAATCTGAAGATCAGAAGTGCACACACTTGTCTTCTCCAACCAAAGTGTAAATCCCTTGCTCTTAGACTCACCAGAGGAATACATGGTTTTCAGAATTTGTACTTATACTGCATGAAATTTATGTGGTTTTAAATGATTTGCTGCTTTACATGTGATTCTTACTGAGTTGAAATTATGGAAATTTTTTTCCATAGGTATATATCTCCAGTATTTCTCATGAAAATTGATGGAACAGTTTGATTTTTGTCTTTATCAATTATATTTACATATGCATTTTCTGAAAAATGACCACTTAGTAAAGCCACATACCCTTTAGAGGTTGTAAATCCTTTAAATTAGAATAAGCTTTTTCTGCAGAACCAAGAGGACTTGTTTCAGGAAGATTACAATTCACCCAGGGGCTGGGTGAATAACGTCTTACGCATAACGTCTTCTAATTGCTGGCAGCCTTGATTACTTCCTTGATTTGTTGAACAAAAGGCACAGAAGCTTAAATAACTCCAGTAGCCCCACAGAGCAGGTGCATTTGCAGGCTCCAACTACATGCCAACTGCTGACTCTCTCTTTAAGGGAAGGACTGGCCAATTCCAAGAAACTCATCTTTTCCTTCTTCCTAGTTCTTTTATATACCATTATTTGGGAAGAACTTTATAAATTAACTGTGCCTTTAATAGGAAACAGATGTGGAAATCTTGGACCCTTCTACTGGCTGAGCCAAGCTGTCTCAGCAAAAGGCAGTTCTCATGCCCTCTGGTGGGTAAGGCAGAGTCAGCATCCAGCCATCCCCAAGGGATAGCTCTCCTTTCGGTTTCCTAGCATCCTCAGAGGTCAGCAACCATAAACCAGCCTAAGTGTCTCTACAAGCCAGTTTTTAAAATAAGATAAAATTAAAAATTGTTGAATCCCAGCAGAAATACTGTGTGGTTAAAATATGAACATATTTTGTTTACAGATGGTAATTTTTCATATACTCTGGTCTGTATCCCAGTAAAATTTTAAAAAGGTTTGGAATAAATTTCGTAGTTCTTCCAGAAATGTCAGCTATTGTGGACACTTAAATTAAGATATTAACTCAGGTATTCTAAGTTTTAAATAAAAACTAAATGTAAGAGAGCTAGCCAAAGCTCTGTAGTATTCACTTATGAAAAATGAATAACTTGTTTGGGGGAAATAAAAGCAGATCATTAATAGTTATCTCTGGGTACCAGATCTTTTATTTATGTTCATAAACTGAGGCTAGGTTGTTTATTACATGTGCATCAATTTTTGAACTTTTGCTTAGTGCTGAATTATTTTTTCTTATTAATAAAGGGCAAATTGATCATGTCTTAAAACCTGGACAGTTGTTTATTTTTTATGAAGTGTTTCTTTGATCTTACTATTAAGGCATTATTCTTACACTTTGTAAAATACAGCTTTAAATTTAGCATTACATATATACTATTATTGTCTAAAATTTAACCTTTCTTGGTTGAAATTAGAAAATAATTGGTTAAATAATTTCATTATTCTTTATGAAGCAAACATCATCCTGATGTTTAAATTAAACTGTGACATATCTTTGCAAAATAAAGGGGCTAGGTTCCCTCTTTGAGTGGCCGTTGACCTTCCTGATTATTTCAGAATTAAAACTTAGAATGAAGTTGTTATGGTCTTGCTCTCCTAATCCTGTTCCCTTTGAAGTCCCTTAACCCCCACAAGCCTGAAGTACAACAAAGCCTAAAGACACAAATACTAGATAATAGGATAATTTGAAATGTTAAGCATTCTGGTTAATTCTATCATTTTTTTAATTTAAAGATAATTTAAATCAGGCTGTTGAAAAATCAAATGTCACGCCTCCTGCCTCTCACACTTATAAAATGGATGAGGTTCAAAACCGCATAAAGGAAATGCTAAACAAGTATAGCAATGGCATTTGGATATCTAAGCTTCCACATTTTTACAAAGAATTATATAAAGAAGAACTAAATCAAGGAATTTTACAACAATTTGAACACTGGCCTCATATTTGCACGGTACGTTTCTTCTTATTCTTCCCTCTTGATGCCTCCTCCCTGCCTCACTTTCAGATTTGAGTTATTAGTCGTATCATCTTTTATTTAGGGAGCACGAAGCACTTTACGTGATATTGCTTCATTAATCTTTTATCACTAAGTCTAACACATGTAAGTTCTTATTTATAGGAGAAATACGGCTTGGCTGAGAGCTGTGTATGTTGTAATTGCTGTGTGTTTAATACATGATCATATGTATACACACATACACACCATTTAGTATTGAACTGTTACCAGTAGATACTGATGGCTTTGTCGATTTAATAATTTGAACTTAACTGGTAATATAACATTTTTTGTTGGCCTCAAATTTTATATGCTTGTTCCTGAGCATTTTTAAAGACATTCAGCTGAACAGATTTTAGTTATTTTGGCTAATTATTTATAGAATACCTTAAAAAAAATTAATATAGAATTCAGATTTTAAATTTTTAAAAACTCCTTTGAAGGAAAAAATTGAAAGGTGAACTAACATCAATTTTCATGCCTGTTCCTACTTGAGAGTCTGTTATAATAAAATGATGGATCAGAGTAGTTTATCAGAAATCTTAGTTCAGCCAGAGATAGAGAAAACTAGCTTCCTAAAGGTGAATGACTAATCTTTAGATATTTCTCTCTTTTAATATAATTAGTTATTTTCGGCCGCACTGGGCCTTGGTTGCTGCTCGCAGGCGTTTCTCTAGTCGTGGCGACTGGGGTCTACTCTCCAGTTGCAGCGCACAGGCTTCTCGTCGCTGTGGCTTCTCTTGTCGGGAACACGGGCTCTAGGTGCCTGGACTCAGTAGCTGTGGCACACGGGCTTACCCCACAGCTTGTGGAATCTTCCCAGGGCAGGGATCAAACCCACGTCCCCTGCACTGGCAGGCAAATTCCCACACACTGGGCTGCCAAAGAAGTCCCTCAGTGTCTCAACGCTGTTTACATAGCCTGTATTCAACAAAAGAGCTTCTCAATAGGAGCATCAGCTTTGCTTGGTGCTTCTAAGCTTATAGAATTAGATATGCATGACAATTACTATTTGACACAGGGCTTTCATTTCTTTACCTTAATATATATTTTGGTCCCCAACGCTGGGCGCAGTATGGACCACTCCCTCTTATGGGCACCTGACCTAAAGACGGCATGTATTTTTATAACCACTGCTTCCTCCAGGGCACTAACACCTGCACCAGTCCCGTGGGCTTTCCAGACAAGGGTTATGGATCCATCCATCCATCCATCCATCTATCTTGTTCGTTCTTACATCATTCACTCTACACCTGCAGGTACCAGGCAGTGCCTTAGGTACTAAGACCACCGTAGGGCAATGTAATATGCTGATAAATACACAGTGCTAAGTGAGAAAACAAGAAATACCAAACTCTGGAAGTATGGCTGTTTCCCTCCCTATAAAGTCAAGAATGATCATAAGAATGTTTTCCCTGATTTATGTTGAATATGGGGTTTGTTCTTGTGGTAGGAATTTCTAAGGTCGCTATTTGATTTATTCCATTTTTATTCTTTTCTGGGAAGGATATTCTTACTGGATGCAGGCTGAGCAGCATTGAGGAATCTCTCAGGTTTCCATAATCTTGAGGAGATTTTTGAGGTTTCACCAGGCCACTCAATCTGAAGGTTCAGGGCCTAGAGCTTCTTTTTGAAATGCATATGTTTCTTTTATTTTTTAAATCCATAGATATTCATGAACTTATGTTTTCAGTGAACTTTAAGTCCTCTTATTGTGAAGATACACGTATAACTCACTATTAAGTTTCCAAAAAGAAGGATCTTTGGAGTAAAAGAATTTTAAATTAACTTCACAGATTCTTCCTAATGTAGTATATTTCTGGTTGATGGTTCCCAGGTGGCCCAGACAGCACAGAGTCTGCCTGCAATGCAGGGGACCCAGGGTTTGATCCCTGGGTTGGGAAGATCCTCTGGAGAAAGGGACGGCAACCCACTCCAGTGTTCTTGTCTGGAAAATCCCATGGACAGAGGCACCTGGTGGGCTCCAGTCCATGGGGGTTGCGAGGAGTCGTACATTATTGAGCGACTAACACTTTCTTCACTTTTCTGATTAGTTTGTTTTAAACTGCATGATAATAACTAGTATTTGTGTAGCTAAATTTATGGCTTTGGGAGAGAAATTCTCATCCTTACTACTTTACATGTCTCCAGACCCTCAAAATTTCTTTTGCCAGGATTGCAGGTGACAGAATACCTGTCTCTTTGATGTTGAAACTTTACCTAAAATGGGTGGTTTCCTACTAAATTTCAGGTGCTAAAATAATTTTTAATTTTTTGGTTGCTCAAATGCATCTTTGTTGCATGATTATTTCTGTCTAGGCAATGAGGGTAGATTGTGAAGCAGAAATAAAATGTTATCTTTCTTATCTCCATGCTGTTTCTCTCAATTTTAATAGGACTGTTTCAGTGTAATCACTATCAGTTGTCAGGTGTGAGAAATTGATTAGTGAAGCATTGTGTCTAGGATGACAAAAACTGCCAGTTTTAATGAGATCTATCAGTATTTTTCAAAATGGTCTTTTTAGTAGCCTGATTTTTTAAACAGACTGGTGGTAAACAGTTTCAAAATGTTACACCATGGTCAATTTTAGACAGTTTTAAATAGCTACACCATGATTATTTTCCCTTTCTTCTGACTTCTTGCTTCTCACCTTGCTGGAAAGCAGGAACACTGATAGAATTCCCAGGGCTGATTCTACTGCAAATAGGTCAGACAGGTTAGAACACACTGCACTGCAGAAAATTTAGGGTGAGAACAACTTAGTGATATGTATCTCCATATGGCTTGTTGTGTAACTGAAGAAGAAATCTGAGTGCACTGTATTTCTTTCTTTTTTTTTTTAAGTGCTTTCTCTCCCAGTCATATAAAATATCCCATATAAAAGTACTGAAAAATAACATTGTAAAAGAAATAGAAATCACCCATCATCCTAGCACCCAGAGATAATCACTTTCAGGAGTTGCATTTGAGTGCAGAATGGGTTGCATCAGCTCAAGGGACCAAATAACAGCTCTGAAATTTTACCTTGACAGAGGTTTCATCAGCTCTATGCTACAAGTCACTTTACAACTTTTTTAAATGGCATCTTGATGCAGGCAGAAGTATGCTTTGGATCTGTTGTTTTTAACCTTTCGATCTCTCCAGCAGCAAAATGTGTACTGAGAGTTTTCAAGGCTAAAGAGAATATAAAGCCATGTTAACAATGATGACCCAGTTCCATAGTGTTCCTAAAGAACTTGTGCAGAAGCTGTCTTGGTAAGCCTCAGAGCCCAAGATGGCAGACTGTTGGCCAAGGATACCAAGCATCTAAGAATTGCTGTTGGATCCTAGGAGATAGCAACACCTCCTGGCTGTTCTGAAAAGGTGGCCTTATTAATAATGTTTTCTTTAACTGTTGTATTTGGCTGGTATTATATTTATAAAATGCTTCTGTGAGCCACTCACTGACCTGGGTGCTAAGAATAACAATAAACAAGACAGACCTGAGTTTTGCCCTTCTGGAACTTAAGGAACTTTTCCCTGCCCAACAGGGAAAATAAGCATTGAGCAAATAAGGGTAAGCCTGCAGTGGTTATGAAGGAGAAATGTAGGGTGTTAAGGAAACATGTAAACAGGAGGGTGTGGATCGTCAGCCAAGTGAAGAAAAGCTTCCCGGAGGAGGTAGCCATCACACGGACATTTCAAATCTGTGACAGTGATTGTGGAATACCGGAGATTGCGTTGAAATCCTCCACTTTCTGAAACATGGGTGGCGAGAGAAACCTCTCCATTCCTGCATGGCATGGAGTATGTCTTCAGTGCCTTGGCTGAAGCTGTGTGGAGAGCTGGGGAGTGGATGGGGGCTGCTTCAGAGCCAGACGGGAACAGATGCACCTAGCTGAGAAGACTCTCTGCTGGTACCTCAAAGGCCTAGCAGAGGAGCACTGGGGGGTAGCTTCAAGATCGTGGGAAACATTCTGAGTTCAGCTAGAAGCACATCAAGCCTTAATCACAGAACATAGCATCGGTGAATAATAACATAAAATGATAGAAATGAGAGAAGTACCTAATGATGCTAATTATTCATGCTTTTACAAAAAGGTTTTACTTAATCTGTATTTTATATGTCATTTTTTTGTTTGTTTGTTAGAAATTACTGAGCTTTAAGTCATTTAGTCCTTCTAATACCTCAGACTTAAAAATTCCTGAAGTTCTGGATTGCAATTTCTGTAATATCAAAGGCAGCAACAGCAGTTATGCCACTTACATACTTTCGTATGTTCAGGAATCTGCCTTAACTTTTTTTTTTGCCTTAACTTTAATTATGATAATTACATAAGATAAAGCACCTGTCAGCCCATGCAAAATGAATTGCCTCTTTTTTTAAAGCCTGGATATGTCTGTGTAAAAAACACCTTGAACTCTAAGGAAGTGAACATAAATGAAACAGTAGTGATGTATCCTCAGCCTTAACAGTATTGATACAATCTATGTGGCCATTCTAGCAGAAGCAGCTGCTGCTGCTGCTAAGTCACTTCAGTCGTGCCCGACTCTGTGCGACCCCGTAGACGGCAGCCCACCAGGCTCCGCCGTCCCTGGGACTCTCCAGGCAGAAACACTGGAGCGGGTTGCCGTTTCCTTCTCCAGTGCATGAAAGTGAAAAGTGAAAGTGAAGTCGCTCAGTCGTGCCCGACTCTTCGCGACCCCGTGGACTGCAGCCCACCAGGCTCCTCCGTCCGTGGGATTTTCCAGGCGAGAGCACTGGAGTGGGTGCCATCGCCTTCTCCAAGCAGAAGCAGCACTGAGGAGTAAAGCCAGGACTTGAAAGTACAGCCATAATAGCAAATTGAAATCCAGTATCTTTTCTGACTTTTCATCAGTAAAAAGAAACACACAATGAACACATTGGAACAGTTTTAAAATTTAAATTCAGCGACTATCTGAGTAGAAGAAAGATAAAATTGCACTGCAGTGA